TTACAGTTATTGTTACGAAAAATGTGTGTGATTAGCTTAACGCGACGCCAACATCTAGTCGCCATATTAGTTCCAGTAACGCGAACGTATTGGAGCGCATTGAATATTTTGAAATGTGCGACGTGAACAAACTAAAGAGCCTCTCACAGGGAGAGAGGCAAATTGCGTCACGTGACTCGTTTCCTCTGATTGGACCTGGTAATCAAGCTCCGTAGAGCCATGATGGGGGTATGCTGTTTAAATTAGATGACTACAAAAGCAATACGCTTATCACCTTGTGTTGCAATTTCCTTCTCAATTGGTAAGATCTTTGTAAGTGATACATATTATTAATCTTGGAAGTATGTACCGTCCTCTATTGTACGTATATACATGAAATAAAATTACGAATTTTTACATTTCAGATATCAGAATTTGTGCATATTATAAAATACCTGCCAGGTGCAGTGCTTTTAAATGCATGAACTCTAATGAAGATGAATATTGCTGCACAATATTTGCTCAAGATCTAAGCTTGAGACAAAAATGAATTGCTGTTGGAATTCCTGATTGAAAACCTTCAAAATCAACTGTAATATGTAAGGTTGATACCGAATCGTGTATACAAATGTTTTATAATGAAATTCCCGTAATCATCAACAAAAATAATATCAATGTTATAATTTCTCACTCAACATATTAATATATTAACAAAAGGTAGTATAAAAGAAGGGCAAAGAGCCAATAACGTATAAAATAATTTTAATTTAAATAAGCAAAATTAATACAAAACAATTAAAATAATCAAACGTTTCAATTCCAATCGAGTCATTTTCAATGCAATCTTACAATAATATAAACATCGTTCTACCAGGTGTATGCATAAGTTTTTTCGGGTTTAACTAAGAGATGGCGCCAGCGAAAAGTACGCAGCGTATTAATTTGACACATACGCCATTTTATTCGTCTGACATTTAACTACAAACACACACAAGTTGAGTCCGCCAAAAACTAGCGTCTTTGTTTTATCGTTCAGTGATCATGTCGAGTTTTGTGCCTGAAAAAGAACATTTGCGGCACGCATTGCTTTTTTTATTTAATCAAAAGAAAAAGGCTGTTGAAAGTCATCGTTTGCTGGTAGAAACATATGGTGAACACGCTCCATCGATTAGAACATGTGAGACATGGTTTCGACAATTTAAAAATGGTGATTTCAATGTGAAAAACAGTGAGCGCTCTGGTAGACCACAAAAATGCGAAGACGAGCAATTGCAGGAGTTATTGGATGAAGACTCAACTCAAACTCAACGGCAATTAGCAGAAGCATTACATATATCACAAGAAACAATCAGCAGACGTTTACGAGCAATGGGAAAGATCAATAAACTCGGTAAATGAGTCCCACACAATTTGAATGAACGTCAAATGGAAAATCGCAAAGTCACTTGTGAAATGCTGCTTCAATAATCGAAAGACGACCGGAATGGGCCAGAAGACATGGCAAAGTGATTTTGTTACACAACAATGCGCCGTCTCACACAGCAAAACCAGTGAAAGATACCTTGAAATCGCTTGGATGGGACATCCTTCCGCACCCGCCGTACTCCCCAGACCTGGCGCCATCTGACTATCACCTCTTCGCATCAATGGGGCACGCGCTTGCAGAGCAGCACTTCAGCAATTTCGAGGAAGTTGGAAAATAACTCGACGACTGGTTTGCCGCAAAAGACAAGCAGTTGTTTTTGCAT